TAATTTGAATACACATCCTTATTTGTGCAGTTAAAAGATCTCATCTGTTACATCTTATGTTTAATTACTTACAGAGTTGCATTTCCTTTATGATGCCTTTTTCCTATGTCAACACTTTTGTGTGTACATCACTGCAGAGCCCTAAAGCAAGTAAGGCTTTCTCTGCTCTTCATTACTCCTTGACAAATCACATTTTGGAGATCACAACTCAGAGATCCTGTAGTTCATGTTGTTTTGAGTAAAATGTGTCACAGAAACCAGCCAAGAGCAAATATTGTCTCTGGGAAAGGGAGGAGCCCAGAAGAGGGGAGAGAGAAAGCCTCTCTTTGAAAGGGCTTGCATGGGTGGGCATGTGCCTGGAAGAGGGGCCCAGTATCCTGCTGCTTCCCAGAGCAGCACGGTGTTGTGGTTCCAGGCACCAGAGAAAATGGTCCTGATGTGGGCTGCGCATACTGGCACCCTGGGAAGAACCCGATGCATTTTCGATAATGTTCCATTTTTATTTCCTGTATATCCCTCTCCAAGAAGCCTCTTCCTCCTCCAGCTCCTGTTGGTTTCTTCTCCACCGAGGAAGACCTCTGAAGGGAGTGTCAGTCCAAAAGTGGCACATGGCCCCTTGTGGTCAAGCCTCTAAGCCAAGTGCGTTTTCACAACAAACAGGGCTCCCTTTGACTGCAGCCAGTGACATTAGGTCCAGTCACATCTATTCATTTATTTTTCCAAACTTATGTCAGCAGAAAATTATGGAAGTCCTGTCTGTGCTGAACATTGGTCTTGGTGCTGGAACACAGCTGTGAACTAAACACAGTCCTACCATCATGGAACTTTAGCTTTTGGTGTAAGCAGAACAGAAACAGGCAAACCCACATATATTATGCTACTGAAACAAATACAACAAACACAAATACATCAGAGTGGTAGGAGAGTCAAGATAGGTGTGGACTGGGCTATCTCAGATACAGTGGTCAGCAAAGGCCTGTCTGTGGAGCTAACATCTGAGCAGAGGCTGGAACACAATGGGGCAGAGAGGTGTGCAGACCTCTGGGGGAAGGACAGGGTAGAAGGAAAAGAAGGTGTGTGAGAAATCCTGAAGGAAGCTGAATCAATGTGCTCGAGACACGAAGGAGACAGTGAGGGGGAGGAGGGGACTGTAAGAAGGGATCAGGTGATGAAAGCTTCCAGGGGTGAAGTCACACAGGGTCATGCGAGCCATGAGAAGGATCTGGGACTCTAGGCCCAGTGTGGTGGGAAGACACTGGGGACCATATCTGAAGAGGGCAGTGACCCACATAAAGGACCCTCTGGGTGCTGCATGGAGAACAGACCTAACAGGCACGACTCTTACCCTCACTCACATGTCACAGCTCTGCTCCCCCTTCCACGATACAAAGACCTCTCTCCTCCTCTGAGCCACTGGGAAATAGGCTGTCTCTGCCACCTGCATGCAAGCTGCCCATCTGCTCACAGGAAGCACTGCCCCTGGGGTTCGAATCTTGGGGGCTCCAACATCTGCTGCATGAGCACCTATCCCTACCTCCTTCTCTTCCCTGGAGCACAAAACCCCAGGAAGGATCTGAACACTTCCCTGTGTCTGGAGATACCTGAGGTTATGAGGGTTGGTGAGGCCAAAGGTGTCACCAGTATTATAGATATAATACCAGAATCCCATTTCCCAGACTCCTTGCTGCTGGGGTGCTGGCAGGTGACTGAAGCTCAGCCAGCTAAATGCACCACTATCCCGTCCTCCCCACCTGCCTTTGACTAGGAGGCTGCAGGCTGAGATGGGAGGGCTTTCGCTCTCAGTCTGCAGTACAGATTAAAGGTAGCTGCAGGGTGTCACTCAGGGCCAGAGAACCTAGTGCTGCTAGTGGGTAGAAATACAGGAAGACCCCATTTCAGGCAAATTCATTACTGAGAACAATAATGAATTTCTCCCTCTTTGTGATCAACAACTTGGTTTCAAAAGAGTTTGGATTGTTCAGTTGTGTGCCATTTCTGCGTTCTTCCAATTGATCCTCAGGCTGCCCACTATCCCTTCAATAAATTCCTTTTCTAACTAAATCATCCAGAGTGTATCTAACCTGATCATAATGTAGACTCCTCACTGATGAAGATCATATCAGGGTGGAATTTAAAATGTTTGAAAGTTACAGCTATGAAGAGACTATTTTCTATTATTTAGCAATCACTCATGAGACTTTACCAGGAGGAAGGCACTGTTCTAAGTGTCTCCCAAGTGCACGCATGTGTCTTGCTATGTGCTTGTAGACAGTAACTCCAGCAGTACCATGCAGTGTGAGTACATATAACAGAGTTTCCCGGGTTGTGCTCACGTACCAAGGGAGAGGGAGATGAGTGGACTCCAACCCCTGAGTACTCAGTGTCACCACAAGTTGTGCCTGGGCCTGGCATAGCTTGCTTGAATGCACATCCTAGCCCCTCCTGTCCAGTGGAGAGCTCATGTGAGGTTTCCTCATATCCAGCTGGTTCTCATCAGAGTGATTTGTGATTTGGAAATTCTCTGATCTGACAGAGGTCACCAGGAGACCCTCCTAGATTCATACATGGTCCTTTAAACTATAGTTTTTTTTAAAAAGCTGTTCCAGGTCCTTGGATACTTTTCTACCCACTCCCTGGAGGCTGCTGCAAAGCCATGGTGACCAGAAGTTACATGTTGGGTAAGGAGGATCCCAGCCCCAACTGCAGTATACTCAGCCCAGCAATCACACCCCTAACCCTAACACTCTCCAGATGTCCGCTTCCGGCCCAAGCCCCTTTCTCCTGTTTCCATGGTCCCTGCAGCACCTCAGGCCCCACACCACCTTCCACCAACAAGGACACTCAGTCCCTTCCCTGGATGTCAATCTTGGCTCTTTCAGAGCATTCCTGCATCCTTCACCTTCCAGGGTCCCAGAGAGCCCACAACCATCTCTGGGACACTGCCCCCAACTCAGTCAACTTGATGCCCAAAGAATCATCCCCAAACTAACACTGAGCTTTAGCCAGAACTCAAAGTAGCCTGAGAGCATTCCTCAGGCATGAAATGTGACTACAAATTGGTCCCTTTGCCAACCCCATTACTTTCCCAGAGGGCTGGTCTGTATCCTTGTTCACCTACACTCAGACCCAGAGGGAGTTTCAGGTGAGGATGAGGCAACTCATGTAGTGGTGGGGTGAGTTCCTACATTACTATTCTAGCTATTCTTCCTGAGAACTATGCCTGTTCCACCTCCCAGGAACCTCCTCAGACTCTGGGCCTTGCCTGTCCAGCCAACTACACCCCAGATGTAATCAGATCTATGACTCCAAGGAGAACTGCTGTGTGAAAGAGACCATAGTACCTTTTGTTCAGAGTTGCCTGTGTGGATAGAACTACACATACTGGCCCTACTTCCCATTGTGCTGCCTCGAATCCTCTAGTTTCCAGAAGATAACTTTGAGGCAGAAAGTGCGAGGAGTGACGTCTCACTGCTCATCTGCTCCAGTCTAAAAGGGATGCCTTGGCTGGGGGCCCTGCTGTGCTGCAGGCTGGAGGAGGGACTGTGGGGTGGGCAGGGGATGGTTTCCATGCCTGGGTCCCCCTGGCAGGGCACCCTGCTCTGTCCTTTGTCCTCCATGCCTCTACCTTTTGTTCCAGATTCTCATCTACCTGCTCACCATTGCTGTCTCCCTCAACCCCGGTCTCACTAAGTCCTTCTGTTGGTCTTTCTAGTTGAAGAGAGACCTGCCAGAGGGACCAGAGCTGATGATTCCTGCAGCTGCCTAGAGAGGAGCTGGGGCCAGCCTGGCCCTGGGATATGGGGGTGGAGGAGGGGTGCAGGGTGCTCTGATGGCCTGGAGACCACAGTTCTGTGTGTTCCATCTCCTCACGATGCAATTCCAAATAAAGCAATGCTGAATGCACACACCATGATTAATTGTGTGCTCAATTAAACAAAAAAGTTGTTTTTCTTGATGTTTTTTGCTTGCAAATTGTGAGCTAAGTAGGTAACTTGACCTGACCTGTTTCCTTTGTCCTCCTGCTTTGGTGGGCCCTAAATGAAGGTGTGGTGTGCTTTTATGGTTTGAGGGATTTGAAACCTGTGGGAGGATGAGGATGGTCAGAGATAGAATTGTCTCTGAGCGTCCTCACTTTTCCTTCTTGGCTGGGCAGTCCTGCTGAGGGCAGTTTCCTCCTGAGAAATTGTTGGGAAAGACCCCAGGCAGTCTAACTGGTTGTGATTGTAGCCTAAGCCAATGTGTGTTGTAAAGGGAATTTCTGATGACTCAGGCATCTATCTCCCTCTGACCCTCAAGGCCCAATTCATCTGTAAACACATCATTCATCCCAGGACTAGGACCTACATCTCTTTGTCAAACTGACTGAAGTTCCACTCAAGCCAGGTCCTCATCTCACCACTAGGAACATCTCACCAGTGATTGGGATGGAAGAACACATTCCCCATCTGCTTTCAGATTCTGGCTGGAGGGACAGTGTGGAATCACAGCTAAAGTAGGTAGGAAGTGGGAAAGCTGTCTAGTCAGCTCCACACAGATCAGGAGGTCAGGGAAAAAGCTTCCTGGACTGAGGATACCTGTTGCCATGAATTGTCCCCAAAGAAGAAGAGGATTGATGAACTTTGTCACAGGGCTGGTCCAGGGATAGGCTTACCACTGCCAACAATAATAACAAAACATTAGCCATTCCCCCTGACCTCTCCATCTGGATTTTCTGTTACTAAGGTCTTTTGCTATGTCTCTTCCCTCCCTTTGTGACTTTCTCTCCTGTCACTCTCTCTCAATCTACCTTTGTTCTATCTTTCTCAATTTTCACATATCTCATATAATAACAAAACAGACAACAGAAATATATTTTATTGAAAACTGTTCCATTTGTTGAGAACTAGAGATTTTACAGTGAGAGTCAACAATATTCATTATATCTCTTCCCGTCCCCCATGCTAACTCTGTTTACAACATCCTGTTTGCATTTATTTTATTTTTTATTTTTTATTTTTTCTGTGGGGACAGTGCAAATGCAGTCCCACACTACTATAAATTATGTAGTTGAATTTCCCACATTGGGGGAAATATCAGGGGTCAGCACATCTGGAGTGCAATGGCTTTTATCCAAAGATCCTCTCAGCAACAGAGGCACAATTAGCTGCCAAGTGATCTAGGGACCACTGCTCCTGCTCCCTTCTTACATGGGTGAGCCTGAAGTGCTCCTATCAGCACAGCTGGACTTGATGTATTTGGGGGGTGTGCTTTGTGTTGAAATGTTTTTCCATGTTTTTGTATCTTGGGGAGAAACAAGTCATCCTCAAGGGGTTAAATCACCTAAATCTTCCAGGTGACCCTCACTCAGGTAATGGCTTTACACTGCATTTACCTGAGGTCTGTGATATTTCCCCAAAAAAGTGAAGCCCCCAACAATCCTGCATCCCTCCATGTGGTCTGCCCTTTCCCATCCCAAATCTGGGGTCTGGTGGCACAGAAAGGATCTGGCTCCATGTCCCTTGGGAGCCAGGAATCAAGGACACGATCCCTGTTCTTTCCCTACTTGTCTCTATCAGTCCAGTGTTCCTCCCTAGTGTGCCTTCTGTCACTTCAGTGGCATGTGAGCAAGTCAGCATGTTCAAGGGTTCAGTATGACTGACCTGTGCCACCAGTCACTTCACCTCTGCCCTCCACCATGTGGGAAGGAAAAGAAATTATAATATCTCTAGAAAAACAATATTGTTCCCCCAAACCACCCCATTTCCAGGTTCCAGGTCCCCTTTTCTGTCTAGTTGGTTCAGCTTCTTTCCCACCTAGGGACCCAGGGGACTTTCAAACCAAATAAAAAAACATACAAGTAAAGAAACAACCTTCATCAAATTGTGGATAGAGAAGTAGAAGAAAAAGATAATGGTGACTTGCATGAGAGAAGGTGGTGTGAAATCAGGAGTCCTGAAAGTTCAAGTATGTTCTGTTGACCAAGGACAGGAACCAAACTAATTGGGAGTTTCCTACTGAAGCAGACAAGTGGTAGTATGGCATTTCTAAAGTGGTAAAGAAAATAACAGTCAGTCTAAAATTATATACCCAGCTAAAATAGCTGACCAAAATAAATGTGAAAATTCTCCCACTTACAGTCTTGTGAATGCTAACAGAAACCAGACTCATTTTCCTGATAATAACAACTGCAAAACTGAGGCTACCATTTTCAGTTAGTGGATGAAGGCAGCATAAGACTTTGACCTCTAGGGGAAAAAAGGAATATCACAAAGTGAGCCCCTGGATAATTGAGTTTTCAGCTGGGGACAATTTCCCACCTGATTCCAAGTAGCAGGGATCTCAGTAAAGCACAACAGTCCTTCAGAAAGTCCTTTGTTCATGGCCCTGGATGGAGCTGGCATCTAAGAAAAAGTTTGCAGGGGGAGCCCCGAAGTCCATATGGTTTTTGTCCAAAGCTCCTGGATGAGGACCAGGCTGCACATGCACAGGCAAGATCTCCCAAAGCTGACTAGAAAAGTGAGGATTAAGGAAGAATAGGCTGTGCTCATGGGGTTTTAACTTATGGAGGTGACTGAGTGATGATACAGAGAGGCCAATGCACTTGAAAGAAGTTTGATGTCAATTTACAATAGCCAAGTGCTGGAAGCAACCTAAGTGCCCATCAGTAAATGAATGGATCAAAAAACTATGGTACATTTACATGGTGGAATACTATGCAGCAGAAAGTAAGAAGGAGTTCCTACCCTTTGCAACAGCATGGATGGATCTGGAGAGCATTAGGCTAAGTGAAATAAGCTAGGGAGTGAAAGACAAATACCACATGACTTCACCCATAAGTGGAACCTAATCAACAAAAGAAATAAGCAAGCAAAATATAACCAGAGACAGTGAAATCAAGAACAAACTGACAGTAACCAGAGGGGAGGTGGGAGGGGATAATGGGGGGAAAAGGGGGAAGGGTTTTCAGGAACATGTATAAAGGACACATGGACTAAACCAAAGGAGGGTAGGATCAAGGGTGGGAAGTGGGGATGGCTGGGGTGGCGGGGAGTAGTGGAGGGCAGAAAATGGAGACAACTGTACTTGAACAACAATAAAAAAATTTTTAATTAAAAAATTTATAAAAAGAAAGAAGTTTGATGTTACTCACAGTTTCCCTGAAAAGGAGAGGCACACCATGCAGGGTCACCTGGGCAAGTAACAGCTTTGGTCAGGAGGCAGGAACAGGAAGGAGAGGAAATCATAGGCCAGGACCTTTGTGTGTTCCAAGGAAAAGGCAAAGCAGGGCAGGGGAAGCACCTGAGGATCAGCTATTTTGAATAATGCTGGTGGTGATTTCTAGTTGTCTGGCACCTGGCTCTGGCTCTGACTGATTTTCCCCAAGCAGGGGAAATATTGGCTTGGTGTGTAGAATAGCTAAAGAGAGTGTTTTAGAGTATGGACACTGGATCACAGGGGAATGTAGACAACTTTGGCGGTTTGTTTGGTCCTATACTTAGTGAATTCTAGGTAGATAAATACAGACTCTAAGAAAACATTGTCAGAGCATTATTCCAGATGGAAGGGCACAAAGGTGTCACAGAGACCAAATGCATTGTAGGATTTTGGACTTGATCCTGAACAGGCAGTGGACATTAAGGGAAAATTAAAATAAAGTCTGTAGATTAATCACTAGTATCATGCCAACATTAGTTTCCTAGTTGTAATAATTGTATTAGATTTGTGTAAGATGTTAACACTACGTGAAGCTGGGTGAAAGATAGAAACTCTCACTGTCTTTCCAACATTTTTGTAAGTCTGAAATATTTCAAAACAGTAAGTTAGAAAGTGTTTTCAATGATACTTACAAGAAATTATTACCATACTGACAGTACCACTCATTAGAGAAGCAATCAGGGCACCTGATACTTATCCTTGTTCCCTCCAATCACAGATGGGAGCTCCTCCTCTTGCAATACCATGTATCCAGGCTCCCTGAGCTTTGGTGTGGCCCTGGGTGTGTGGCTGAGCCACATACAGATAAGGTTCACAGGAAGCCTTGTTATGCCACCCAAAGAGAGCTGCCCAGTTTTTAGGCCAAATCTAAAGGCAAAGGCAGACTGATTCCCAGAATGTGATGGATGTGGTCATGAAAGCACAGGGTGGTATAGCTCTCACCCACCGTATCTGGCTCAGAAGAAGTACCAGAGACTGAACTGGTGGCCCTGAGAGCCATTCTCCACCCAGTCCCTGCCATCTGGAACTTAGTTTCCTGAGAGAGACTCATGTTGGGACCTCTGTTGGAGATTTGGCAGGTGTCCGAACACTCTGCTACTGCACTTCCATCTACACCCAGAATCCTAAATCATAGATCACAGGGTCATGATCTCAACTTTTTTTCCTGCACAAGTCTTTAAAGATACAAAGATTTGGTCAGAATGACTGCAAGTACTTTCTACAGTGAGAAGCAAAATGATCCCATTTAAATAGAATCATTTTTCTGAAAAAGCTTGATTCACAGAACATAACTACAAAGCATCTTCTTTCTTTTTATTTATGGCTTATAAAACAGCAATTGTTATTTTTCTCACAATCATATATAATTTGGACAGGCTCATTTCTCTGTCACACAGAGCTAGCTGGGTTGGCTGGCCTGGAAGATTTGCTTCTGGAATGACTCATTCATGTGCCTGGGAAGCCAGAGCTGGGCGTCACCTGGGAGCTACATTCATGCATTTGGCCAGGGGACCTAGCTCCTCTCCATATGGCTAATTTGGCTTCATCACCGTAGTATAGGCCAAAAAGTTTCTGTCCCGGTGATTGTGTCCATGTCACCATTCAGTGGCTATCGTGTGTCCCAAAACTTGGACCATGGCTGAGTTTGTGTGGGTCTGAGGTCCTCCTCAATGGCTCTGACTGGCACTTCTGAAGCCACATCAAGTTGCTGCTGCTGCTTCATTGGGTGTCAGGTACTGACTGGAGAGTTGTGCTCTCTGCAGTGCACCTGGTGGACCCCCAAGGCAGGTCACTTAGGTGTATCCCCTGCTCCTGGCTGTGGAGAGGGGGTGGTGGAGAGGACATAGAAATGAGAAGGGGAGTCTGGAAGTACAGGTCACTCCTTTAGAGGAACCCCTGCCCTGTAGCCTAATCCCTAGTAGTTATTCAAGTCCTATTCATCCTCTGGTCTATGTTTCAGAATTCCCTGGTTTCTCCTTGCAGCAGAAAGATGTTTTCCCAGAGCAAACATGGGAGAAATTGAAGACAGTTATCCAAGAAAATGAACTTTGACCAAGGCAGCTTGGTAAGAGAGTCTGGGGCAGTGTAGTGCAAGGCCTGACATTGGCTTTATTTTGTTTGTTAGGCCAGTGTCTGTGACCTCAGCTTTGATTTCAGAGGCGCCCACTTCAGAGAGGGCGATCTGGACTCGACACATCACCAGCCACAGACTAGATAAACAGCCAGCCCCCCACCCCATCCCTTGTTTGTGTTAATGACCATTTGGACCACTTGTTTTCTTCTCCTGCCTCCCTTTAAATTCTTTTTTCTTTTTTTATTGACTTTTTGCTTTTTTGTTGACTTTATTGGTAAATAAAATTACATAGATTTAAGGTGTACAATTCTATAATATGTCATCTGTACATTGTAGTATGTGTTCACCACCTCAAGTGAAATCTCCTTTCATCACCACTCTTCCCCCTGTACCTTCTACCTGCCCCCACCCTGCTTTCCCTCTAGTAATCAATATTGTCTGTGTCTCTGAGGGGTTTTTTCTCTTATGTTCTAAATTCACCAATGAAGAGTGAACCCTCTACATCTTAGGCCTACAACCTCGATCCCAATAAAAGCATACGTAAAACACATTCCCTCTCTCTTCCAGTGACCTCACTCTGTGCCCCAGGTGCACTGTGTGCTTTCCAGGTTCTAAAAGTACAATACTAAACAAGTAGCTTTTCAAAGTTCCCTGGTGGTTATTACTGAAGGGCGTCTTACAATCATAGTAAGGACCCCAAGGACTGATGCAGTCATAACACTGGTTGTCGGTCGATAGGGTGAGACTGGCTCAAACCAGGCCTCAGAATCTGAGTGCAGGTAATAAGGAAGCTGGGGATTCATGTAATGGGTTCAAGGTCCATGTGCCCTATGCTCCCAAGTCCAATATTCAAAACGTCAGACTTTACAGTAAGGAAAGTTTCATTGATA